TGGATGGAGGGGAGGGAGGGTGGATGGAGGGAGGGAAAGACAGGTAGGGGAAGAGAATAGAGAGACGGAGAGAGTGGAAGTGAGAAAAGCGAAATGAAGACATGAAGGTGAAAGATAAATAAGTAAACGCATAAACAGATAGGTAACTAAACAGACAGACAGACAGACAGAGACAGACAGACAGACAACTAAACAGACAGACAGACAGACAGACAGACAGACAGATAGACAATCTAAACAGAGAGAGATAGACAGACAGAGAGAGACAGACAGACAGACAGACAACTAAACAGAGAGACAGACAGACAGACAGACAGACAGACAGACAGACAGACAGACAACTAAACAGACAGACAGACAGACAGACAGACACCATCCCACACCCTCTCTCCGAAGCTTAAATTCAGTAAATAAACGAAAAAAAACTGAAAAGAAAGGTATAGAGAAAGTCCATTGTCACAGCAACTTTCTCCAGCTGTGTTTGTGTTGATGTTTTTGTTAGGTGTAGAGAAAGTTGTCCAGAACCCGAGTGAAGAAGCTTTCAATAGAAAACTTTACCAATGCAATAGTTCCTTTCTCCTGTAACTAGTCTTTGAAACTTTCTTTTTGTTGTTTTGTTTTGGTTGTTGGAAGGTGGAGTGACGAATGGAACTTTTTTTTGGTGGGGGGTTGGGTTAATCCTAAAGAGAAAGTTTTAAGCCAAAGTGAAAGTATATAAGAAAGTATGAACACAAGGGGAAGTATAAAAGAAAGTATGTTCACAAGGGAAAGTTTAAAAGAAAGTATGAACACAAGGGAAAGTATAAAGGAAAGTATGAACATAAGGGAAAGTATAAAAGTATGAACACAAGGGAAAGTATAAAGAAAGTATAAACATAAGAGGAAGTATAAAAGAGAGTCTAGGAAGAAAGGGAAAGTATAGGAAGAAAGTATAAAAGAAGTATATCACAGAGAGAAAGTAAAAAAGAAAGTATGGGAAGATAAAATTTAATAACTAATTACAATCAACTCATAAAAAAAGACTATATACTGAATTGACCTTCCCACGGTTAGGTTAGGTTAGGTTAGGTCAGGTCAGGTCAGGTCAGGTCAGGTCAGGTCAGGTCCCTATTCAATCATTTAAACCAATCAAGAACACCAACACACTTAATATGGGATTGAATGGCAAATCACAAAGGTGTTAGGTGATTGGTTCAGCTGCCAAGATTGAGTTTCTGAGTGATTCTATTTGGTGAGGATAGATGAATTGATGGATAAATGGATAGATGAATTGATTGGTATTGACAAATGCCTCGTCGACACACACACACACACACACACACACACACACACACACACACACACACTTGTCATTTTCACAATAATATACTGATGAATTTTTTTTCCATTATAATTTTTTTTACGCGGTGTTGAGCAATGAAATATATGTATGTGTATTATGAGGCAGGAAATATATTGGGTGGGTGAAATATATCTTTTATCTCTCACTTAGTCTGTCTGTCTGTCTGTCTGCCTGTCTGTCTGTCTGTCTTTTAGTTTGCCTGTCTGTCTGTCTGTGTCTGTCTGTCTGTCTGTCTGTCTGTCTGTCTGTCTGTCTGTCTCTTTTAGTTTGCCTGTCTGTCTGTCTGTGCTCCTCTGTCTGCTCCGTCTGTCTGCTGTTCGTGTTCGGGTTCGTCTGCTCCTCGTTCGTCTGTCTGTTCGGTTCGTCTGTCTGTCTTCTTTAGCTTGCCTGTCTGTCTGTTCGTCTTTTAAGGCTTGCCTGTCTGTTCGTCTGTGTTCGTCTGTTCGTCTGGTTCGTTCGTTCGTCTTTTTAGTTTGCTCGTTCGTCTGTCTGTCAATAAAAATTAACAGAATACCTTCAAAATATATCAACTATTTTCTATACTCTATCCGGCTATACGTTATATCAAGTGTAGAGTGTATCCGGCTATATAATATATCCGGCTATATAATATATCCGGCTATATAATATATCCGGCTATATAATATATCCGGCTATATAATAATTACAGCCGGTATATGGGGACACAGATAGCCGGAAGTGAATTATTTCAATTATGTTAAAAATCTGGCTTCTGCTTAATTAAAATTTTTTGAGTGGCATCCTATCCGGCTGCTGTGGTGTTCTATGGTGTCCTATGGTGTCCTGTGGTGTCCTATGGTGTCCTACGGTGTCCTGTGGTGTCCTATACTTGTTTCTGATGGAGAGAGAGAGAGAGAGAGAGAGAGAGAGGTGTCCAAGGGAAAAGGTTGTCTACACTTTATGGGTGACAGTGATGGACCCAGTGAGAACCAGAGTGCTGTTGCTGCCATCTGTGGCGTGTGGGGCGTGGGGGCGTGTGGGGGTGGGGGCGAGAGAGGCGTGTGGGGGTGTGTGGGGGCGTGTGGGGGGTGTGGGAAGGAGAGGCGGAGGCGTGGGGGTGTGGGGCGTGTGGGGGGGTGGGGCGAGAGGCGTGTGGGGGGGTGTGGGGGTCGGGAGGGTGTGTGGTGTATTGTGTGATGTATGAAGCACATGTAGAGCACAGAGGGCATGTAGGGGGCATGTAGGGCACAGAGACATGTTGGAAATACGTAGGGGCATGTAGACATGAGACATGTCAGCCACGTGGAGGGCATGAGACATGTCAGCCACGTAGGGGCATGTAGACATGTCAGCCACGTAGGGGGCATGTGGGGACACACAGGGCTAATGGGGGCATGTAGGAGCACGGTAGGGACATGTAGGGGCATGGTGGGGACAGAGATATGTAGGGCATGTAGGAGCATGTAGACATGTAGGAGGCATGAGAGCACGAGACATGTAGGGGGGCATGTGGGGAGTTAACGCAGGGGACATGAGGGGGTACAGAGATGACTGAGAGCATGTAGGAACATGTAGGGGCATGTAGAGCACGAGAGCACGTAGGGGCATGACAGAGCACGTAGGGGGCATGCAGGGACATTTAGGGCATGACATGTGGGGGTAGACATGTATGACATGTAGGGGCAAGGAGACATGAAAGTATGAGAAGGTTAATGGGGTATGTAGGGGCATAGAGACATGTAGGGGGTATACATGGGAGAGGGTATGTAGGAGAATGTAGGAGCCTGTGTAGGGGGCATGTAGAGACATGTAGGGGGCATGTAGACATGTAGGGGCATGTAGACATGCTGAACACATGTAGGGTATGTAGAGACATGAGACATGTAGGATGCATGGGGAGCAGGGGAGCATGTAGGGGTATGAGGGGAGCATGTAGGGGTATGTAGGCACATGTAGGGGTATGTAGGGAGAATGTAGGAGCTATGTAGGGGGTATGTAGAGAGCAAGTAGGGAGCATGTTTTAGCATGGAGGGGGTATGTAGGGAACATGAAGGGGGTATGTAGGGAGCATGTAGGAGGTATGTAGGGGTTATGTAGGGATTATGCAGGGGTTGTTGAGGGACAAACAACCAATAGGATAATTTGCGGGTTTTCCTGTGTTATGATTGGCTGTTGGGTAATTTGCGGGTTTTCCTGTGTTATGATTGGCTGATTGAGTGACAGGTGGAGGTATATAAACAGAGGAGGCGGGAAAATTGTCAGTGTGTTTTAAGTCATTGAAGGAGGAACATCGCTTAGTCCTTCCTAATTCCCAGCTACGTTGTGCATTTAAGTACGTTTGATATACTTATAATAGTGTTAAGTGATCTAATATACTTATAGAGGAATTTCATAAGTAAACAATGTCTTATTTAAGTTTTGGAAAAGGTTTTAAGTGAGAAATAAGCTATTTAAGTGATGGGAAAAGTGTTAAGTGATAGAAACGTTATTTATAAGTAAAGTGGGCGTTATGTAAGTGAAGGACTCGTTATTAAGTGATAGATAAGGTTATTGTTAAGTATATAAAGTAATAGACGCGTTCTTTATAAGTGAAGTGTTCGATAAGAATAAATAGAAGCATTGAGACCAGTGGAGGTACTTAACATTGTGAGAGAGAGAGAGAGAGAGAGAGAGAGAGAGAGAGAGAGAGAGAGGAGCTTAACACGGAGTATATTTATTCTCTTCCATTAGTCTATTACACCGTGGGAGAGAGGGAGGGTGGGAGAGAGGAGGAGGGAGAGGGGAGAGTGGGAGAGAGAGGGGGGAGAGAGGGAGAGGTGGGAGAGAGGGAGAGGTGGGGAGAGAGGGGAGAGGGTGGGAGAGAGGGAGAGGTGGGAGAGAGGGAGAGGGGTGGGAGAGAGGAGAGTGGGAGAGAGGGGAGAGGGTGGGAGAGAGGGAGAGGGGGGAGAGAGGGGGAGAGGGAGAGGAGAGAGGGAGAGGTGGGAGAGAGAGGGAGAGGGGGAGAGGGGAGAGGAGAGAGAGGGGTGGGGAGAATGGGAGAGAGTGGGAGAGGGAAGAGGGTGGGGAGAGAGGGAGAGGGGGGAGAGGGAGAGGGGAGAGGGGAGAGGGTGGGAGAGAGGGGAGAGGGTGAGAGAGGGAGAGAGGAGAGAGAGAGGGAGAGGGAGAGAGAGGGTGGGGAGGAGGGAAGAGGGGGAGAGAGGGGAGGGGTGGGAGAGGAGAGAGGGTGGGGAGAGAGGGAGAGGGGGTGGGGAGAGAGGGAGAGGGTGGGGAGAGAGAGAGAGAGGGTGGGGAGAGGGGAGAGGGAGAGAGGGAGAGAGGTGGGAGAGAGGGGAGAGGGTGGAGAGGAGAGGAGAGGGAGGAGAGGGAGAGGGGGAGAGAGGGAGAGGGGGAGAGAGGAGAGGGTGGGAGAGGGGAGGGTGGGAGAGAGAGGTGGGAGAGAGAGAGAGAGGGGTGGGAGGGTGGGAGAGGAGGGGAGAGAGGGTGGGAGAGGAAGAGGAGAGAGGAAGAGGGTGAGAGAGGGAGAGGGTGGGAGAAAGAGAGAGGGGTGGGAGAGAGGAAGAGGGGTGGAGAGAGGAAGAGTGGGAGAGAGGGAGAGGGTGGGGAGAAAGGAGAGGGTGAGGAGGAGAGGGAGGGAGAGAGGGAGAGGCAGGCAGTGGGTGGGTGTGTCAGAGGCTATTCAGTGCTTCTGCCGCCATGGTAGAGGTCGGAGGTGTGTGGCAGTGAGTCCTGAGAGAGAGCGAGAGACAGAGAGAGAGAGACAGAGACCTCAAACTCGAGCCTATCTCTCTCACACTCGCACTCACACTTAGAGAGGGACTCAAGTGTATTTCTCATAGTGATTATTTCTCTATTGTACAGTGATGGATTGTTCATATTGTACAAGATGAACATGTGAACAATTTTAGTGAATTTTTTTTTTCATACGTAAGTTTAATCTGAAACAAAAAATCCCACAAAACTGAACGAAATTTTTATTTTATTTATTATTTTTTTTTAGGTTATAACATTGAACAAACTTTTGATAATTTAATACTTTTTCCTCTTAAATTGAATCAGTAATGACAAAACTATCAGAGTACACAGAATAATTAGCCAATCAGGTATCCTTTAAAAAAAACTATCGAAAGAAAAAATTATACCCATCAGAACACAGGCAATCAGAGGAACTTCATCTATCATCCAGCAACCATGAGTACCTGCTTGGTGGGGACGTAACGCCACCTGTACGAGTCAGTAGCTATGAACACCAAGACCCACACACGTGCAGGGTCATCACCACCTCCACGTGCCTTGTCAGTACGTGCACGGATCCCTACCACCAGTGACCCGAAAGTACGTGAACCACCAGAAATGATCGTCAGGTACTGCAGGAGGAAACGCCGTCAGTACTCTATCTTCGGGAAGGTCCTGGAGATGGTCTTGATTGTTACTCTACACGTTAAAGGTAAAGGTTGTCTGTTTATGGTCTGATTCGCTTTTGTTTTTCTGATTCGCTTTTGTTTTTCTGATTCGCTTTTGTTTTTCTGATTCACTTTTGTTTTTTCTGATTCGCTTTTGTTTTTCTGATTCGCTTTTGTTTTTTCTGATTCGCTTTTGTTTTGTATTGTCAGATTGATTTTGTTTATATATTATTATTATTATTATTATTATTAATATTATTATTATTATTATTTATTATTATTATTATTACATATTATTATTATGCTGCTTTCTTGTTTATCTCACATCCACTTCATCTTCATCTACCACACACACCTCATCCACCGCACACCCTCATCCACCGCCACACCCTCATCCAACGCACACCCTCATCCACTACTACAACCTCATCCACCACACCTCATCCACCAACACTTATCCAACACACACCCCACCACACTCACCCACCACACTCCATCCACCACACACTCACCCACCACACTCATCCACCACACATCCACCCACCACACTCATCCACCACACCCTCACCCACCTCACACTTATCCACTACACTCATCCAACACATCCTCATCCACTACTACATCCACCTCATCCATAAAGGTAAGTCCTGGGAAGTCAGTGATAACATAATTTATGTTAAAGAGAATTTACTGGTCGAGAGGGAGAGAGAGAGAGGGAGAGAGAGAGAGAGAGAGTCACTGATACGTAAGGTAAACGATAAAGATAGAAATATGGAAAGAAGAAAGAAAGAAAGAAAGAAAGAAAGTAAATAAAGGCGAAAGAAAGGATGAAAAACGAGAAAGAGAGAGAGAGAGAGACGGGGGGGGTAAATGACAAGAAAGTGCTAAAAACCCCACCAATAGGGAGGAGTACGGGGGAGTTGTGGTCAGCGAGCTCTCCTATTGGTTGATGGCTGGTGGTAAGGTCTTGGCTCTTTTCTCCAGGCAAGAATATTTATTTTTCCACTCTCAATTGACTCTTTCTCCTTCCCACTCTCTTTAAATGATCCTTTCTCCTCCCACTAATTGACTCTTTCTCCTTCCCACTCTCCCTCTCTCTCTCTTACTCAATCTCACTCTCTCTCTCTCACTCTTCACTCTCTCTCACTTATTAACTTTCACATTCAGCAATTATCTCTCTCTCTTTCTCTCTCTCTCTCAGCTGACTCCCTCCCTACCTACCAGCCCTCACTTGGTAAAACTGTGATTACGTAATTAGCTCTTTACTCTACAGGTGAGTTAAGACAAATTAAACACAGGTGAGGTTCGGCAAAATAAACCTGCTGAGTCATCATCTGAAATTTAGACACACCAATTTAACCGAGTTATTGTTAATCTGGTCTAATGTAACCTAATTTAACCTGACCTAACCTAACGCGAACCTAACCTAATGCTAATCTAACCTAACTTCAACGTTAAATTAAACTAACCTATTGCTAATCTAATTTAATCTAATCTAACCTAATTTAACCTAACCTAACCTAATCAGCCGGTAAGGAAAATAAACTGTCAGAGGGGTGGGGTGTGGGGGGGGTGGGGGGGGTGGGGAGGGTGGAGGGGGGTTAATTTACAGGTAATCACAAATGAGTTTATTCTCTTTTGACTCAGTAAACTAGAAATGAATTGTGTATTATTTTAACCGGACACTATATCGAACACTATACCGAACACTATACCAAACACTATACCAAATAACTGCTTACTCAACACTATTCTCCTTCATTAACACCTGAGGCAAAAATTAACCTCTATTTTACAGGTGAGAATGAGTCAGTGTGTGTGTGTGTGTGTGCGTGTGTGTGTGTGTGTGCGTGTGTGTGTGTGTGTGTGTGTGTGTGTGTGTGTGTGTGTGCGTGTGTGTGTGTGTGTGTGTGTGTGTCCGATTTAACCCTTTGCCTATTCCGAGAACAAAGATTAATATAACGGGATAAATATAAAAAAATCGTATTTTTTCTGTCATTTTGAAATTTAATTAGTGTAATTATTCTTTGTTAGGAAATATGTACTTTGATAATTTATTTTATTCTCTCAAATTTTCCTTTAAAAAACCAGGATATTTTAAAATTAATTGGATTATAACGTTGGATATTATTCATTTTTTATTCATGTGACATCTGAGTTATTATCTACCTGTATAATTAACTAATTTAATCTATTAATTTCGCTTCAGAACAGGAAATATGAAGTGGGAAATGAAATAAATGAAAAAAAAGGAATATTTATGCAAGTTACCCTCTTTGTTAATACCGTTTTCTCTAGTACTCTCAGTGTTAATACGTTTTCTATAGTTTCTCCTATGTTAATATCGTTTTCCTTATATCTCCAAAGCTGAATAATTAACTACTATTCTATCTATAAACTTTGGAAGAAAATATTTTAACTATAAATACCATAAGTGAATGAAATTTTTTAGTAGAGGGTTGAAGTTAATATGATAGAAGATGGATTTTTACACAAGTTATCCCAAATTATAGGAACAAAAGACCCAAATTATACGAACAAAAGACCCAAATTATAGAACAAAAGACCCAAATTATAGGAACATTACCAAATTATAGGAACAAAGACCAAATTATGAACAGCAAATTGAACAGCAATTAGGACATTAGACCCAAATTATAGGAACATAAGACCAAATTATAGGAACAAAAGACCCAAATTATACGAACAAAAGACCCAAATTATAGGAACATTAGACCCAAATTATAGGAACATAAGACCTAAATTATAGGAACATTAGACCCAAATTATAGGAACATAAGACCCAAATTATAGGAACATAAGACCCAAATTATAGGAACAAAAGACCCAAATTATAGGAACATTAGACCCAAATTATAGGAACATAAGACCCAAATTATAGGAACATAAGACCCAAATTATAGAAAATAAGACCCAAATTATAGAAAAGACTAATTATAGGAACATTAGACCCAAATTATAGGAAAAGACTCGAATTATAGGAACGAAAATAAATTAGTATATAAAAAAGATGAATATTATGTAATGTCTTCGAAATTTAACTCAACTGGTCAAATTATATTTCCTGTATCCAGTTGAACAGCCTTAGTGGTGAGTGACGCTGTAATGTCTGTATTTTGCTGTAATGTCTGTGTGTTTGTCATTAATCGCGTGTGTTTTTTTGTTACTGGGGAGTTTTTTTTAGTTGTTTGAGAAGGGTTGTGGGTTGTGAGTTGTGTTTTTTTGTTTTTGTGTATTTTGTTTAATGTTTGTTGTCTGTTTGTGTTTATCTGTGCATCTGGTTATCTTCTCTCTCTCTCCTTCAACCCTACATTCTACAATCATTCTTTTCATTCTTTCTCTCATTTTCTCTCAAACAAATAATCTTTCATTCTCCTCTCTATCTGTCTGTTTATCTCTCTCTCTCTCTCTCTCTTTGTCTCTCATTCTCTTTCACACACACACAGAGGTATACTAATGATGCCAGGTTGGGTGAAACAAGGCTAAGACACAAGCGGTACAAGTTTTAATGGAGAAGACCACACCGCATGCTGATGATGGCTGGACACACACACACACACACACACACACACACACACACACACACACACATCAACTGGGACAGCAAGCGAAATAGGGTCTGTTCTGCGGCTGGTAGGAAGTGTGAGAGAGGGAGGTGAGGGAGGGGGTGAGGGAGGTTTGAGAGAGGGGTAGGGAGGGGTGTGGGTGGGGGGTGAGGGAGTGAGGGAAGGGGAGGGGGGGGAGAGACGGGTAATGTCAAGCAAGGAGACAAAATTTATGGACGTTGTATTTTTTAGTGTGTGTGTGTGTGTGTGTGTGTGTGTGTGTATTTGAAAGGGAGAGGGAAGGGAGGGATATAGGCAAACACACACACACACACACACACACACACACACATTTTACCCAGGCCTTGTGTCAAACGGGCCTCAAACATGACAAGAAAAACATACAACCCAACAAGGCTGTTTTATTTACGACACTTCAGACTAAAACGAAAAAAAACATGAATAATATTGTTTTTTTCTTGTTCTGTGTGTGTGTGTGTGTGTGTGTGTGTGGAATTTAAAGCCGAGATTAAAAAAAAACACCGTGTGAGTGTTTTATTTCTGACAGTTCAAACATAAGGGTAAAACACCATCAGCGTTCAAGGTGTTTTATTTGCTAGAGTTCAGACTAAAGGAGGAAAAAACACCGTATATTTATATATGTGTGTGTGTGTGTTTTAGTTGTTTATTTTAGACATAGAAACCAAGGGAATGTATGTTTTATTTTCCATTAATCACAATAAAACACTGTCAAACACGACTCAACTCAAGGCAGAAAAACACCAAGACCTAGTTCACATAAATCACATTAAAACAGAGAAAAACAAGAATGGAGATGAGGTGTTTTTTTCAGGCTTTAAAACGCCCAGGTATTGCACGAGAGAGAGAGAGAGAGAGAGAGAGAGAGAGAGAGAGAGAGAGAGAGAGGACAAACACCATCTTCCATTTCGTTTTTCTCTGTTTGTGGGTGTTTTATTTTAGAGGGGAATTGCCTGTGTTTTACGCCCGTGTTTTGAGGGGTGTTGAGTGTGAGAGGTTTTATTTCTGGGAGGCTAAAGTGAGTGGTGTTGGAGAGGGAATACGTGGGGGTGTTTTTTCCTTGGGATGAGTGGGGTTAGAGAGGGAATTGTATGTATTTTTTTCTTTAGGATTTGAGTGGGAAGTGTTGGTGTTTTTTTTGTCTTATTTTTGAGGGGTTTTGAGAGGGGTTACATATGTGTTTTTATGTTTTCTTTCTCGAGTTTCCTTCCATCATTTCGCATCTTTTTCACTTTCCACCTGACCCACCAAACCCACCCCCACCCACCAAACCCACCCCACCCACAAACCCACCCCACCTTCCTTTCCACTCACCACTCGTCATCTTTCCACCTCACCTCTCATTTTCCACCTTACCTTTCCACCCCTCTCGCCAAACCATCATTTTCGCTACTTTTAACCGAGAATTTTGGCGTAGTTGAAAGCTTTGATGTTTTGGT